GTCTGCAGTAATCCCTAAACCCCAAGTCAAGACACAGGACAGGAGCAGGAGCCTATCCAGGACATGAAATCCAAAGCTTCCTCTACAGGGCAAACAGAAAATTTTGAAGCTTTCAAACCCTTGAAAGAACTGATGAAGGGCTGATCCATTCTAACTGAAGAAACTCATTTGCACATAAACTACCAGAAATAACTCATATTTAGGAAGATAACAGAAGACAAAAGATCAGTTCAAACACATATCCCAGCATTACTTAGTCAAGCAGCTTTGTTCCAAACCTCAGGTTGGTGGAGCTGGAGCAAAGGAACAAAACAGCAAGGGAAAGGTTCTGGGTGCACACAGTACAACTGCATTTCTGAGAGGATCCAAACCTAATGGTGTGCACTAGACTATGGCTAAAGCACCCTTCAGTGAGCTGCTCAGCTTTGCACTGCAGGTCTCTCAAATCCAGTTTTAGGTACAAACACCTTATCTGGATGCTGCTTTTTGGAAACTGGTCATCTTGAAGTGATCTGCCTTATAATAAGTTTAAAAAACAACCTTAGAATAGAATGTATATAAAATACAATTATGTCGGAAGCAGAAACTAAGTTATTTGCAGTAAATGACTGAATCTTACACTTAGCCATCCAAAGGAATCTCTCTGTATCCACTTGTGGAAGGTGAGGAGGCAGGGCACAGAAAAATAGATAGAAGGAAATTCTCATTTCTTATATTTATTTGCAGCATGGTAACTTAAAGACTGGTGCACATAATCTTGAAATTATGTTTACATACTGAAGTGTTAGTGAAAAGTTACTTATATCTGTATTCTCAAGTGGCTAATCCAAATCAATTCAGGTAAGAAACATTATGTATACCTTATTTTAAACATTTGCTTCAAACTGCAGTAATGTCAAAGTACTTGATAAGCCAAGTTTAATTCATAAAATCTTTGTAATGTAGTGTTACTTTTTTTCCCCACAAAAAAAAAGTATTTTAAAAACCCATGGTGAATTATATATGGAATCTTCAACATCTCAAAGGGCTCAGCTCAGCAATGCCCCTACCCCTGGACTGCAAACCTGTATTTTGTTACAAAAGAACTAATTTGTTACAGGTTTGGTAAAGCATATTGTATGAAACCAACTTACTTTTTTTTCAATCCATTGTGTCAATATTGAACTTTTACCATACTGTTCAGTGATACACAGTAATGTGCTATTAAAACATATAAAAGTCAAAGGAGCAAACAATTATCTAATAAAAAATGGGTAACAGATCACACAAGGAAGAGGTATGTGCTAGGAGAAGGGCATATGGTAAAATATCTACAGAAAGGTACTCAGAGGTACTACCACTGCAGACCTTCACCACAGTCTGGAGACACTGAATAAACTCAAAATTTGGCTTCTTGCACAGCTTCTTCATCAGAAGGTTGTCACCAAATAGTGCGAGAGACAACTACAGTGAATTGTGCAAAACATTCAAGTAATAAACAAGAGGAATTGTAGCAACTCAAACCCAAAAGCCTTTTTCTTATCACATTGCACTCTGCATTTTTTTTCCTTTTTCACTTTCTTTTGGCACAAGTTTTTCAGGCTGGTGGTGGTGTCAGTTGTCTTCCTTTCATTTCTCTTATTAGTTTCCAAGGCCATTTAAATACAACAAAGTAAAAAGTAACAGCAAATAAGGTCCAGTACTTGCAAAGTGAATTCTGCATCTGTGTGGGGTCATCAGGCTACAGAAATATTTCAGAATGGGTGGGAGATGAGTGTTACTGAGTGAAAAGAACGATAAAAATCAAGTGAAGCAAAACTTAAAACAAGCAAATGATTGAGATTGGCCTCATTAAAGCAAATCCTATTAAAAGCCTTACCAACTTAAAGCTGGGCAAGGAAAGCATCTTCTGCTAACAGCATTACTGCTGTGACCCACAGGCAGGAGCACACCTCATGCCAGTGTCCTGGCCCCAAACTTCTCTTCACTTGGTCAGAACGCAGAGGGGTGTGTAGTGATACCAGAAACCTGTGCGTTTGCAGAAGGATACACATCTCAAAAAGGAAGTGTACACTGTGGGGACCAGTAAATGCAACCAGGATGCATGTTAACAACTAGCTACCACTTCTGGTTTTCAAAACTGATTTCACTTCAGAAAATTATTTCACTAGAGGATCTGTTTGCAAACTGGACTACCAACATCTTCTAAACCACTGGGGAAAAAAAAAAAACCCACGCTTTTTTTCCTGCAAGGCGAAACTGACATTTCAACTGAAAACTGCTTACTAATGCACTGTAATAACACTGGAATAGCACAAACACATTTCACTTTGTGTGTCTTCCTTATGTCATGTCTACTTTGACCAGGACTTCTAAATCAAAGCAGATTTACTTACTGGTTTGATTTTGTCCTGCATTACAGTGCCCTGCCTGAAAGTGCTCTGTGTGTTTATTTCTAAAAGATAACCACCACTGCTTGAAGAGATCAGAAAGCAAACAAAAACCCAGAGCAAAATGGGGAATCCCAACATCAGAACTTTGTGTTTAATAACAGACATTATTCTTTTCATCAAACTACGAGTGTGACATTGCTCCAAATAAGCAAATCTCAGACATTCGGTTTGAGACATATTTCAGCAGAAGACAAAATGGGTGTCTTAATTTGATAAAGAAGAGTTTAAGGGCATTAGTCTTTCTTCTTTTAAAAAGGAAAAAATAAATTGCAAAACAGACAAATTAAAATCTACTGCTGTGTTACTGCAGCTTAACTCCAGCACTTCTTAAGGGAAAAAATTCCTGGCGCAAACAGAAATCTTTCTCCTTCTTATAATAGTAAAGGAAGTTGAACTGTCCCTCAAAAGTTAATGTGTCAGAAATTTGGTTTTATTAATTTAGAAGCACTCAAAGTAATATATTTAAAATAACTTCTGACTAAACAGCTCAGAAAATCCAGGCTACAGATAGCATACGAATTCTTCTGGTTCTACCACACAGGAACAGTGGATCTCTTCGAAGTGTTTCAGGCCATTTGCTAAAAACAGTCCTCCCTTCTCCCTCCAATCCTACTGTGAGCAACTACATGCAACTCCTAAAAGCAAGCAGCTAAGTATTACCAAGGAAAGGATGATTGTCACAATGCAACAGAATATTAAGGCCAGTGAATAATAACTGAGTACTTCTAAGTAACACCAGTGTCTCTCAGAGCCTGCTTTTCCAAACATCACCAGAACAAAAGCACAACAATTCTGTAGTGTACCAAGTGTATATTTCAATTTACTGTATGCAGTCTAACAACAAATTTGGTCATAATTTACCAGATATACATAAATGATTTAAGTAGTAAAAGAAGATTCAGTTCCAAGAAAATAATTTCATACCTCGAGGAAAAAACCAACAAAATAAAAACAAAAAACAAAACAAACAAACAAAAAAAAGGAAAATACATTAAGAATGTAGAGCCAGGTCCAGTTTCTAAGCATTAAGTGAGCAGTATTCTAATAAAGCAGATTTAGGTGAATTTCAGATATATATATATTTATATATATAGACAGATCTACCAATTGTAAACTATGGTTTTAAAGGGGATAAATGGGATGGAAAAATCTTTATGCTATACTTACATATTCACAAAGCAGAACATTACTTTAACGTTTAAAATACTTTTTCATTCAAATCATCTTTGCCCAACTAATTTCTACTTTGGACCCCACCAGAATTACACATTACTCATTTCAGTCTAGAACAAATAAAATGTATTCTTCAGTGTAAAAAAACGGCACCCCACCCTCCCCCCAAAAACTAATCATGTCAGGTTTACAATAACGTGGAAACTACCAATGAAACAAGTGGATAAAAAAAACATTTTAATTCCCATATAACTGTAGTTCAAACTTATCATCTCAGCTTCAATCAGCAAAAATAATGTCTTAACATTATGTTACTGTCCTGCTGATGTAAAGGACAATAGTAAAGCTTGTCTCCTTAAATACATACCAACTTTGATCAGATGGAGCACCAGTAAGATTCTGTCCGTCAAAGCATAGTTCAAAGTTATCCACACAACTAGCATAATTTAGTTACCTGATATAAAATAGGAAAAAATATACTCATTTTAAAATTAAACAAAGTTGAAAAATATGGTGACCCTCAATTGGCTTTTATACAGTACTGTCACACTGGCCTAGCTATGTGTCATGGTAAATGCTCTGCATATTTACTTGTTGTGACATAATTGTACATCAGACGTATTGTTCCAATGACTGCCTGAATGCATCTGCCTTAGGCTAAACACAGAGGAGTTTAAGGTGAAGCTGTAATGCCCTCCCCTCCCCATGAAAGGGGCCTGAAATCATTGGTACAATATTACAAGCTTAGGCAAAAAAAAAAAAATCCATGTGGCTACAAAAATTCAAGTTTCAATGCCTCCTAGAAAATCTGAAACAAAGAGCATACGGAGCACATCCTCCTGAAAAGTAGACAACTCAAAGAGCATTATTTCACTTTGGACTTTGTTTTTCTTAACAAGAAAAGAAAATTCCAGCAAATGAGCAAGTTAAATGTAATAGGTTTATATTAAACACTAGCAACAACCCATTAAGTACAAAAGAATAAAAAATAGTTTGTGTTCATTTTAATGACGAACGATGGGCACAAAAGCCTAGTGTCCAACTGACATCACATGAACTAGCCAAAAACCGGACAAGTAAGAAATTATCGACCAAAAAGTTGTTTTAATATGACACTTTCTCCATTATTTGTATTTTTACTCTGTGGGACTGAGGTATACACCAGGGAAGTCAAAAGGTTTGAGAGGAAGGGGCCTTAGAGGAGGGAAGAAACATGACATCAGATACCTTTTAGCACAATTGTTCTCTTCTGACTAAGTGGCACAAGAGTTACCCATGCTCTGATCAGTCTATTGTTTTCCTTACTGGTCATTTCTTCTGCATGAGCACTTCAGAACTGATGAATCAACAACAACTTTCTTTAAAAACAGACGCTAAATTAATGCCATTAACAGCTTCTCCAGTGCTTATCACCCATACCACCTGCCAGCAGAGCCAAAAGTATTAAAGCCAAATTTCAATGTGGTGTTGGCAATATCCGTGATGCGTATTTAAGTGTTTGGCTTTCACCTATCGGGTCGGGAGAGGTAAGGTTTGCATGGCAAGACATGCTTGTGGCCAACCAGAGCCACCGGCCCAAATTAGCTTCACTGGTTCACTGACAAAGTACGAGCGGGTTTGGGAAAGCTGTCTTTGTGTTTCCATACCAAGTTGCAATTCTCTTCATTCATGTACACAGATACATGAATGTGTAACATAAGTACAGTTACTACTATGTCTGAATAGGAACCAAGTAGCTATAGCCTATAAATAATAAAAAATACATTTTTCTTTTGATAACTGACTGTAGATGTGAGGACTCTGTATAATTCAACCAAATGGTTGTATGCTGTACAGTCCTGTGCAAATATCATAAAAAAATTAATAATCCTTTTTTGCTATAAGGCTTTGACCCTACATTTTTCACAGCAACGTAACTACCATCCAGCCTGTACCATATTTCACAAGCCTTCAGTCCAAAACTTCAAACAGTCAATCCATAGTGTCCATTCGCAGCACCCTGAAGTCATATGCTCTGTCAGTCATCTAAAGGCATACAAACTTCCCCAGCTTCATCCCATCGAGACTGGTCATTCTGTTCTTCTACATCATCACCGAGCTCCTCATCGCCTTCTCCCACTTCATTTTCCTCATATTCTTCATCCCTAGGGAAATCTGTGTCCTGCACCTGGTCTGCTCCCTCTTGCCCTCCAGGTTGAGATTTATCTGCACAGTCAACACAAACTCCATAACGTCGTGATCCATGTCTTATTCCAACACTGGCTGCTAGCATGAAAATCTTCTTACACACCATACATTTATACTTTTTATCCTTTTTATGCACCTAGGGAAGAGAAATTTTAACAGCTGAAAATGTGTAGCAGGTTACATTTGCATATAGTACCAGAAAACCATTAATATTGACAATAATAACTATTAATACAAATTTCCTTTTTAGAACTCTTCCAGAAGATACCCCAACACTGTTTCAGAGCAAGAGAAGGACTACTAGGGATCTATCTATGCATTCCTCAACATACAAGAACAAGCAGGAGTTATGGTCTGTGCAAATTCAAAGAGCAAAATCCTTCTTCCATGACATCTCCCTCCCAGCACATCCAAAACCAACATCAACTTTCCAGGTCCCTTTGGTGAACTTTTTCTCCTGTGTGTGAGGCTGTGTATAAAATTAGAAGGGTATTGCTGACTACCCTGACTAAACATAAATTTTAAATCTGAATGTGGAAGTATGCTACTTGTATATTGTTGTACTCAGCAACCATGTATATTAGCTATTATCTTGGAAAAAATTAAGCTGAAGACTTTCCTTCTCTCTGGTGTCCCCACAACAGATTGCAACTAGGTGTTTAAGTATCTCACTTGAAGTCACATTGGAAAAGTTGCCATTTTAGATAAAACAGAAATTACCACCCAGATGAGGGGGGAAAAACCACAGCTGAGATAGAAAAAGTTAATTCAGTCCTGTTGTATAATCTGTACAGCTGATATATGTGTTTTCCTCAGCCTCTAGACTTGTTATGATAATGCTTCACATGAGGCAGAATGTCTGAGATTAGTTGAATGGAAAGGGAGGAAAAAAATCAGAAAGAAAATAAAAAAAAAAAAAGCATTCTGACTCCATCGGGAAAAACACACTTCAGTTAAAGGAGAGAACTGGGCTGAGCTCACACTACAGCTATTTTCACCCTGTCTGACTTAATTTCCTTCCCTGGAGGAAAAACAGTCTTCAGCTACAAGTTCTGGTCAGACACTGAAGTATCAAAATCTGAAGTCCCACTCTACTCTTCCTGGTAGACCTCCCACAGTTGCTGCCTTGTCTGGTGACCTGCAAAGGAAGAAGCAGCTGCTGAGTATTGCCACCAATGAGGTCAATGTTTAGGACACTGATTGGTGTAGCTGTTGCAGCTAAGTTCTGGCTCCAGCCTAAGTTCTTACACCTTGAGAGGTGCTCCATCCCTCTAATTAACTTGGTGGCCCTTCTCTGCAATCACTCCAACAACTCCATGTCCTTCCCGTGCTGAGGACCTCAGAGCTGGAGGCAGTAACTCCAGGTGGGGTCTCACCAGAATGGGTTAGAGGGGCAGAACCATCTGCTGGCCTGCTTTTGATGCAGCCCAGGATATGTTTGGCTCCCTGGGCTGCAAGCACACACTGCCAGCTCATGTCCAGCCTCTCATCCACCAGCACCTCCAAATCCTTCTCTGCCAGGCTGCTCCCAATTCCTTCATCCTCAGCCTTTACTGGTACCAGGGGTTGCCCTGACCCAGGTGCAGCACCTTGGAGAAGTGCAATTTACCCCACTCCATGCACTAACCTATTTTGTATATCTACACAGCGTGTTGCAAAATGAGGGTTTTTTTAAATACAGCTTGGAGAAATGTTACTACTTTCTCACCAACAATATCTCTTGTTATTCCCCTAAAACACACCTTGGATTTTATACAGTAAATGTTACAATGAAGTCTTAATTTCCTTACAGACCAGATACAAAGTACCTGCAAAATAGCCAAGGCAGATAATACTTTCTCTGGATCCTCAGATGAACAGTACTCAAGTCAAATCCTGAGTTATGCAACACACACAGGACAGGGTAAGCTGAACTGCTGATTATGGACTGGTTGAATGGAAGTCAGACAGATGTTTCCTTTCTGCATAATATACTTTTCCTTCTTTCAAAAATCTTAAAGCAGATACTATACTATAGCTTTGTATAACTGTGAAATAAGCATTTCAGAACTACCCCAAGACATTGTGCAACTGCTGAATTAACAGACGCCCTCACAGAAATAGGTGATGCAGCATTACAGAACAAGATCTGCTATTCTACCGCAGTAACACTAAACCAAAACTGCCTTTTGTTATCTACAGAAGACTTACATATAATCCACCTCCTTATCAGATCCCTTTCAAAACAGTCTTGAAATTATCAGAATTCCAGTGACCGTCTTGACTGATACTACGTTTTTTCCATCAAGAATAGAAGAGGTATAGTTATCACAGAGATGTTTATCCTCATCCATTTTAGATTAAGGTAAAACAATTTGCATTATGACAAATCATAGAACAGTGTTTCTTCTATCAAACACCTGAAACAAACAAAATCCCACACATGTGCATACTAACACACAAATATTTAAGATTACCCACCAAGGAATGTCTCTTTACATGCTCTCTTCGTGTAAACAGCTTCCCACAGATGTCACAACTGAAAGATCTCACGCCTGTGTGAATGAGCAAGTGTCTCTTTAGTGTTCTTCTGTATTTGGCTACATAATTACAGTGTGGACACTTCAACTTGTTCATGATTAAAGCAGAGGAATCGCCTACGAGATAATAAAACCATCAGGAGAAAAGACGATGAAACACACAAAAAACCATTTCAATATGTTCTGCCTGGTGCACAAAAATAAACAGGTGCCAAAACAACAAAGCACCCACATGACCTTTCATCAGCCAAATCAGGACAATGCCTGTCTCCAGAAACGACAAATGCTGGTAAGCTCTGCATGTATGATCTTGCTAGAAAAATACTTCTAACCAAGGCGTTTTTACTACAGAAGCACAGATCAATACCTTGAAAAGAAGTCTTACTTCATGAATCAGGGTAAGTTAACCACAATTTAGCAGTATTCCACTTTCTAGAGGTCACCTATACCAGAAAACGCTTTCTTCTGGATTAGAAACTCTCCAGCTCTGCAGCATTTAGACAGTTACAATCTTCTCTCCCAATATTCTATCTAGAATTACGTGCAGGAACTGTCTGCCAAGATCTGACTTGACAAATCAATAAAATAAAAAAAGGAACATATAACTAAGCAAGAATTAGTACTGACAAGAGGAGTAGGACACTAAGAAGCAGCACAATTCTGAAACAGCTAAAAAGGGAAGTTACTGGTTCAGATCTTACTTATTCTCTACCCAAAGTATATTTTTAATACTGTTAGACCAAAATAAAGGGCAGAAAAAACTTCCGGAAGTAGCAATATCTCTATTCTTCCTTATGACGGCAGAGAGCTCTTTACACATCATTGGACCACAGGTAACCATTTGCTCAAAGGACATGGGCAAAACAGATTTACTATAGCTGCCTATTACTGTGTGAAATAGGAAAGCACAGGATGCTGTGAGGTGCCAGAAGGCCACACAGGAATACAAGGATGATTTTCAGAACAGGATACTGACTCAACTTACATGCTACAGGTGAGATAATTTATGGACATAATCACAACCTTCTAGAAGCATCCAAAAAGCATTGGCTAAGGCTACATGATTATGTGCAGAGTTTCTAACGTTCCAGCTGGCAGGCAGAATGCACAAGTGCTATGTGCATGGGCCCTGCAGGCCTATACCTAGACTTGCCTCCTCCGAGCTTCAAAATCCATCATAACACGGAAGCTAAATTTTGCTACTACACAGAAGTTGACATCAGTATATTGGAGCATTATGTGAGCTGCAAGTCAACATGTCACGTAATGGCTTACGTGAAGAAAAGTAAGTTCAAAAAAGGTTTTAAACTGCTGTCTTATACACATCAACAGGGGTGCAACAGGCAGATATCAGGGCTGTAAGGCACATGGGAATTTCATGGTTTAAGACAGACCTCAGAAGACCCAGGTTCTAATCCCTTGCCTGCTAGTGAATTTCACCTTCTGATGACCCAATTTCTTCTACTGTAAACCCCAAAATATTTAAAGTAAACCATAGACCACATCCCAGTAATAGCTGGAAGTCAGAGAGAAGAGGTAAGTATTACTATTACACAGTCCTTAAATTCCTCTTTTTATTGAAGACTTCATGTGTTTTAAGGATCTAGCAACAATTATTTTAGATGTGGTAGTGGTTTTGGTATGCTTTCAGATGAAAAGTAATTACAGATAATTGCTTGCCTGAACTGACAGAAGAATGCTTAATTATGACAGCACTGAACTCAAAACCTTTACTGCAATAAAGTTTTTATTTTAATAGTGAGACGTATTCTGACATCTACTTTTAAGATTGCATTTTAGCTCTGGATCTTCATCATCCACATGTTCAATTTCAATGCTCACTTAGCTGTATTTAGGTTACGAAAGCAGGGGAAGCTAACAGGTCATTAAGATCTCAGGTATCTTCGTATGCAGGCACAATACAAGAGCTAATATAAATCATGTTCTGCTTTTACTGTTCCATAGATTTGAATTCCTTTATCTTCCTCAAAGGAAGTACTCGTATTTGCATTATCCAGAAAGTCAAATGATATAGAAGAAGATTATATAAACACTTAATCTTAAATCTCTAAACAAAATAAATAACACCAGCAGTGACACAGAAGACAAAGAACCCCTACCAGAGGCAAACACCAACCTCCCCTCCACCAGACATACTTACCATTTTCCCAAGCGTCTTTCGGCCATGACTCTGGCAGCAGTCCATACTTGAAGTCACTAGAGGTACCCGGCAGCAGTCCGAACTTGAAGTCACTGGAAGTCCCCGGCAGCAATCCATACTTGAAGTCACTGGAAGTCCCCGGCAGCAATCCATACTTGAAGTCACTGGAAGTAGCTATTAAAGACACAGTTACTTTAGCTTCCTGGGTTCTAATCAGTCACTCTGTTTAACAAAATATACAGCCTTTTTAAAGAGCGACGACATAGCAATTATAATATTAAAATAATAAAACTGCAATTGTAATATTCTGCCACATAATCTTCAATACTGAAACTAATAAATAACTGCATTCCTAATTTCTATTCAATGAGACCTTTGAACTGCACCCCACAGCACCACTTCTTCTCCCCATCCTGAGAAAAATTCTAAGTTTTTTCATACTACAGGAACTTCTATAGTAAGGATATTTACTGCCTCACTATCGTCATGACAGGGCTGAAAGGTTTTCCACTGGATTCTCTTTACAACTGCTTTGCGCAGTGACTTCATCTAGTCTACCACAGGCAGTCTAGTTGGTAGTAAAGTAAACATTTTCTACCAGAGGAATGTTTTTTTTTAATTGCCTTAAAACATCAGTGGTATATATAAAGTGCTTTAAATACTTTTATTTATATAAAGTATCCTACAGCTATGTCTAAATCATTTTCTGAATAATCATCTCCATTACTCTAACCACATCAATTCAAGAGACCATAATTACTTGGAATACATCAGCTTAAAAGACTAGTTTGCATATTCACATTTGGTCTTTAGACAAGCTCTTCATGCAGTTCACATTGTATCCTTTTTTGCTCTTTAAAAAGAGCAAAACCACTCAGAAGTGAACACTGCCTTAAAAAGATCCTTGCTTGTTTATACTTTTCTAACAAGTAAAAATGGCATCACTGAACACGGAATAACTATTACAGAGCACAGAACTATAAATAGCACATAAAGCTGCACAAGGAATTTGACAAAATCGTATTTGTGGGGTAAAGACTCTTCTGGCAAGAGTACAAATCAGTTTTGCCCCCAATCCTGGAGGTTGTTGGAAAACATGAAGTCATAAATCCATTCCTTTCCCCACAGGCAAACAGTTGTTAAATAAATGAACTGCAGTGGTAACTGGCAGATTTCCTTTTATTTGACTGAACAGTGCTTGGGTTCTCACACTGGATTCCCAATGTCACCATTGTGAAAAGTCTAGAGAAGGGCTTCATAGCAAATAGATGAATTCTTACTTTCATGCCTGAAACTGCACGTTTTAATAGTCCAAAGACTCTTTCCTTTGTTCCTGCACTGTTCATTCTAAGGGTTGTTTTGTTAAAGGTAATTCCCTTAGGGTGAACCGGAATTTGATGCAGCTAGTGAGAAGCTGCACACTGAAACTCTCACACCTTATGGTTTTACTGGAAAAGAGTACAGATTACAAATCCTCACAGCACTAGACATATACTGTAGTTCCACTTACTGCTCAGGCAGTGTGGCAGTTGGCAGCAGTGGTTTTGTCTGCAACATAAGACATCAGTTCAAAAGGATATCACTTAACAAGTAGGAAGCTTATAATTTTATCCTATCTGTTAGACAATGGCAAATGACAAGCAAAGCTGGATCATGACTACCAAACTAGGCATTCCATTGGAGCTTTTAAAAAGCAGAGCTTGACTAGATGAAGGAAGAGAAATACAAGTATTTCAGATCATGCACCTAGCTATTCAGGAAAGCAAGAAGGGGAAGAGAATAAAACTCCCTCACCTTTAAGAAACAAAACAGCGAGGAAATTTTTTTAAATTACTAACTCTAATAGCTGTTATGTCCAAAAGAGGCAAGAACTCCTTACAATAATCTGGAGCGATGGGCTCCAGCAATGGCATCTCACAACAGCTCAAGGAATAGAACACAGATACCCTATAGACATGCCAAATACACATTCCTTTGAGGTGAGCAGCAAAACTTCCTTCTGTAATACACAAGGATTAGTGAGGAAGCAGTGTTGTACAGTTCTGGGCAAGAGCAAAGATGAGTTGACTTCAAGGGTAAAAAGCCTTCAAATGAAAAGAGGCTTCAGGATCTAGCAGAGGAAAAAATAAAGCAACTTTTATAATCTATTTAAAATATTAGATTTATTTATAGGTTTTCTCCCCTCTATATAACTGTCCCATCTCTAGCTGAACAGTGAAAGGTCAGTGATCAAAATATTTTAATCGCTTCCCCCCCCCCCCCGGACTATTTGCAAGACTAGCAAACAGTCTTCACTGCTCACAGACATGGCATGCACACTGTGTACAGGCAACATTGTCCAGCTTCCTTCAGAATCAGCGTGCACCAAAGGCTGACCATAAGTAAGAGTTGTACTAAGCTGAGCACATTTCTAACACTGTCACTTTGACAGTTCCGCTAAGAGAAGACAAACTGAATTTCACTGGGAACATTTCTGCACACACCTGGTATTAAAGTCTGAGCGAAGTCAGGAGCTCAAATCCCTGCATAGTTCTACATCTTAGCATATGACTCAGCATAGAGCCAAACAAACTTAAGAGCTGTAGTCTAGTGTAGATAGTACCTACTAAATCTTTCTACCTCCAATTTGAGGAGAAGACCTACTATAACATGAAAGAACACCAGCACAGATACCACAAGAGATAACAAGTTGCTACATACACTTCTGTCTCTACATAGTACAGGACTAAGTAGATAATAATTAAACCTAAAGCTTATTCTTAGAATAATTCGCTGACCTAGAAAATCTGCTTTCTAGATTAAGCCCACATATAATGTGTTCAAACCAAAACCACAAAAAAAGGCATCTTTAATGTCTAACTACTTATCCCTCCCTACAGGAAAGACATCCCTTACATACAGACAGGGAACTGGAACTGCAATGTGTAGCCTCTACAAGCTTTCCCAAGTCAGGTAAGCTACCAGCTGCGGCTGAGCTAAGTGTAGGATGTTACAGATCCCTGTGGCTCCTGACATCATCTCCCATTCCACCTCCCACCCAGGCTACTGTCCTCTGAAACCTGCTTACAAAACTCTAGATGTAGTTCATCATGACCTGTTCTGGTCAACTTAAACCCAGATGATTTTGATAGCAGACTGAAAGGAACTCTGTATGCAGAGTTGTACTGGTAGACTGGGGGTGGGGTGCAAAAGAGGAAAGTATAGAAAGCAATAATGCAGATCCTTTTTTTAAAATAGCTAATTAGAAGCAATAATATCATGTATCTCCAGAGCAAGCCACCTGACCACAGCTTTCCTCTGATCTAAGAATATTCTTTTACAGTTTAGTTGATTTCTAGAGGTGTTAAGTTAATAATTCAAATGCCAATTAGCCTCAAACATTTACCCATTCTTCTAGCCCGCATGGGTGAGAAGCTACCAGTAACCTAATCTTAAAGGAGAGAAAAAAATCAACAACAAACCAACCCAAAAATAATAAAAAATAAGAATACCAATTGGCTAATTAAGTATCAGCATTAAAATTCACAAGATGTCAATCCGAGAAGTGGGAAAGGCAGTCCGAAATACAATTAAGTGGTTCTGTGGGCTCTTACACCACCAGTGAAAACTTCATGAAAGAATTTTATGTTCTACTGCATTTGTTCTCAGGAAAAAGTATATCCAGAAGCCAGACACACCCATTTTCAGTTTTGAAGGGAACAGGTAGGGGAGCATCACCAGAAAGAGAACACATCTGAGCAGAAACATCCTTACTTTGACAAGTTTTGCTCTTCTTCTGTAACCAGAAATATGCTGATTGGGGGGGGGGAAAGAAAAGGACATATTACTGAGCAGGCGATGATTAATACCAATGATAGAAGCTACTGAACAGGTCATTATAGAAAGGGATAGGGACAGAGGGTGTGCTGAGGGAGAAGATACAAAGCTTCACATTAGACACAGTTGTCTGTAGTGAACTTCTGCTTTCTTTATACATATGAACAGTAAAACCAGTGCCAAAATAAGAGAAAAATACTATTTTTTTTCCACCAGGCTTTCTGACGCTGAGTGCTCATTCAGACCAACTAAAAAAGACAGAGTAGACGGGATAAGTGATTAGGCCATAGCTCTCAAAGATCGTAAAGAAAGCAGTGGTAATCTACTGATACAATCTGGATTGCTATTAGAGAGCTGGATTTGTCGTTGCTTACGTCAGGTAACATGACAGAAGAAACAGCACTGCCAAGACTGACACACTAGGAACATGGGGAAAGAAAATACCTTGTGCTCCATTTGTTCCCAAAGTACTCCTCACACCTTTAAGCTTGCTTCCAAAAAGGGTTATTCTGGAAGCACATTACTGCTCAAATGCCTCTTGAAACACAAGGCTCAGACATATTTAAAACATTTTGCCTATGCAATCTCACTCATACTCTGTTGCTCCCAAATGCACTCAATTTTTACTATTTCTCATTCACGAAAAAATGGTACATTGCCTTCACTATAGAGTCAGATCTAGCACCAACTAACCCTGCCAGATGAACACCAACTGATGCCAAATATATCATCCACTTGCTTATCATACATTCACTGAAAAACTCCTTCCCAAGAAAGGGAAAGCTATTTTGTTGATCTCTTTCCACAAAGGCTATACCACTAAAACACAAGATACGAACTTTGCTCATCCAGTCCATTTATTAGTGGGGGGAGTTAATTGTCCTCATACACTGTTTTTATTTATGGAGTTGCTGCCATCATCATCACTATTTCATGAACGAAAAAACCCAGCACTTCATGTTGGCTTGGTTTTTCTTTTTAAGTGAATGCACTGGGGGGAAGAAAAGAAAGAAAAAACCCAAAAACATGTTTTTCAGGCAGAAAAGGCCTACAGACACCACAAAACCTTCTTTACTACAAACCCATTCACAAAAACAAAAAAAACCAAAACCAAACCCAAACCAAATTCACAACAGCAATGCATAAAACATTGCTTAAAAGTTTTATGGTCAGTAATAGACCACAACATGAGAATGCAAGGACCTGCTTGTCTTTGGGATCAGCCCTGGGAAAGCTAAATTTAATGAACAGGGAAGAGGCTGACCCTCAGATCTTGCAGTTTCTTTAGATGACTTCTAAGAACCTATGGGGCCATCAATACCCGATTGCAGAGAATGGGTCAAATAAAGATGTTAAAGGTCCATCAAGGAACTTGTATCTTTCAATCAGGGTATCAGCTGGAGATCTGAGGAAAACCTGACAGAGTCATAGTACTTTTTTTCCTTTGTAACTCAGACAGTCAAGAGAGGTTTATCTCTACTAGAAATACATACATGTCCGGGTAAGTCCATCAAGCTTGACAAAAGCTGTGACCAGCACTACATTTTCTGTAAGCAGGTTTAGCTGCTGTTCATATCCTTCTGAAAAGTAGTTGCTTACACAGCAAGCTGAATTCAAGAACACCTATGAAATAATTCAGGAACCCTCCCTGTTCCACCAAAGGGTTGTTTTCATCTTGAACTTGTTATCCTTTCCCTCACCCCCACCACAATACACAACACAGCATTATCTAGCCTGAAAAAAAAAGGTAACCAGTAATCCAGTGGCAGCTTCATAGAACTACTGCAATACTGTATACAAGTGTCCTTAAAAATCAACACGGTCAGCTCTGGAAGGCGTAAGCAATACTTCACAGCTGTGTTCTCAAGCCTGAGCATAGGACACCTGTACTCCAAAAAAACCCCAGGCTCAGATGAAAAACATTCAAGAAGTGATGAAAACTGACAAAAAACTATGAACAGACATTAAGAATATGATGAATTAGAACCACTGAGCTTTTATGAACAGGAAACAGACTACGAGCCACCAACTGACTGCACTGTGATTTTCACCATGGTAAATGGTTAATTGTACGATGGATGACAGCTGTAAACAGTAAAGACTTCTTTAGCAGATTATCAACTAGAAGGGAAAACACTGAGATAGGTGGTAACATTTGAGGTTTTAATTAAATAAACAGGTATTTTAATGAATATGGCTAAAACTGGCAAAGTCCTGAAAGAGTAGGTACATGAAGTAAGACAGTACATGCAATTTAAAATCAGTCTCAACTTCACAGAGTTTTTTTGAAGCTCGCCAAAGTGATACTTCTACAGGAAAAGTGTTAAATATAAACTCACTGGCAACACAGGGTGAGAGGAAGAAGCTGATATAACCTTACGGATACCTGTACGAAAATCACGTTCAGCAAGGAGCAGTTTAACATGTTTGCTTTACTGGGACCAGAGGGGCAGCAGATGGTTCAGAAACCATTTATTGTTTATTATCTAATACCTACTTAGCTGTACTCAACTGGAAAGCCCATTTACTACCAAATTCAAGGAAGTGGCTTTTGGGGGGAATTTTTGTAGTGAGGAGTGTTCTTAGAACAGGCTTCCTTCTCACCACATCTATGGTATTTCTTTCCCCTCACAAAAGCACCAAGCAAAACCATAACCAAGGACACAGCAACTCATTTTGCATGTAACTGAAAGCTCACAACCACAGCTGGTGTTGGTTATCCCCATCAGAACATGACAAAGCATAATAGAAGAAGTTAATTCTTTCCCTTTTAGCAACCTAAGGGACAGAACACACCTTAGCTTTCATCATAAGAATTTGCTATTCTTTATTTTTCTTCTCACAGCATTGCCTTGCATCTATTCCAGAAGACATTTTCTTATGCATTCTTATCTCACGGTGCCTATTATTTTTGGTAGTTTTTCATCTCCACAAGAAACTTAATCCACAACTAGCAAGTTATCGTATAACCTGCAGGTTACTCTACAACTCATTCCTGACATTCTTCCAACTCTCCACTCCTCCCTCTTCCACCTTTTCTTAGGCAGAGAGGGAGCACTTGAAAGAAGAGTGTTCAAGGGTGCAATCTACCTAAGAAGCAAAGAAAAAAAAGCCAGCAGTACAGTAGGAAGAACACCAGAGGCTGAAGCACAGACTATAGATAAAGTAAGCTATGCCAAGTCCTACTTCCAATTGCTCTTCTTGTGTCAAACAATGTGCATGCACATCAGAACTTCGTAAAACTAAAGTTCTTATTATAAAAATATTAGATACGGCTTCCAAAAGAGTTCTAGCACTGACAGAAAGTGTATTTATCTACTTGAGGACACATATGCTGTGCTCTGAAAATACTAAGGAGACCATAAGTTCACAGTACTTTACAGCTCAACAAATTAAACTTTCCCCAGCAATCACAGACATTTGAATGGCTTTCCACGGGCACGTACACAGTATGGCCTAGTCCCCAGTACAGTTCTTTTCATCGAGATGCTACATGGATGTTTTTTGTAGCTTAATTCTTTAGCATAACAATGTACTGTACTGAAAACCTTGGTGATTCTATCCAAAACAAAGCCAACCAACCAAATCTCAACTAGGACTAAACTTGTTTCATCATTACTGCACTGCCCATTATCTTCCATTATTTCTTCAAGAAATCTCCACAGCACACATATAAGTTCTGCAGAAGGCAAACAAGTATTTATTTTTGTTGCTAGTAACATCACTTACTAGACAGATTCTCTGTATTTCCATCAGTAAGAGGCTGAATATCTGCCACATATAAATCACAAACAGAAATCACATGTCAAATTGTATGAGAAATTTGTATTTGTGCAGTTGAGATACAGGTCCTTAGCTCCTGCTCCAGACTCCCTGCTGCTTTTTCATGCTGCTGCAACTAGAGCAAGTGGTGTTGCCTAACACAGGCAGAGTCTGTGGGTGCTGAGGACTCAGCATCTCTACTGTCCACGGATCTAAAGGAACTTGACTTACGGCTAGATCTAACCTGGTGCTGTGGACCCAAGGCCTGTTAGCAACTGGCACGCAATAGCCATGTGCCTGAAACACAGCTCCTATTGTCACTTCAGCCAGAGGAAACCCTGAGCAGCCTAAGAAAGCTTAGACAGCAAGAGAAGATCAGGAAATGCACTTTACAAGTGCACACTCCGAAGCCGAACTGCAAAGCTAAAGCAGAGTTCAGAGATGAAGACTACAGATAAGCAAACTCTTCGACATGCTCTCAGTACAGTGTTAGCTCCTCAGCGCTGCTCTTCCCTGGAGCTGCTCCTGCTGCGCCACACTGCCTGCTAACTAACTGGAGGTATCCTGACTGTCTCCTGCTCACAAGGCAGACAGAGGCACAGCCCCAGCCCGCACTGCTGTGCTGTCACCCGCCGCCGC